GTGTGGAAAAAGATCTCTGTTCTAAAGTTTATGATCTTACGTAGCAAACCCCATAATGAATGTATGAAACAGGTTATTAGAGTGTATATGAAGTGGGGCAAATCTGCGTGATACATAATCAAAATAGACCAAGAATCAGCCGTGAAGAACTGGGAATGAAAACTGTCCCAATTTGCAGTATCACAGAGTAGAGTATTTAGGAATGTGTTTAACAAAATAAAGTGCACTGAAAAATGTAGACCAGTATTGAAGGAAATTAAAGGATACCTGAAGAAATAGAAAAAAAATGACATGTCCATGGTTTGGAAGACATAATAGTAAGATGACAATACACCGGGACTGGTCTGCGTTTCATGAACTTTGTGACCAGATCACAGCAGGAATTTGACAGAAACCACATGATTCATACAAGGAGCCCAGACCCTCTTGGAAAGATGGATAAATTAGGAAGGCTCCAGCCAGGCAGTAGTGGCACACGCCTTTAATCCCAGCACTCGGGAGATTCTCTGTGAGTTCAAGGCCAGCCTGGTGTACAAGAGCTAGTTCTAGGACAGGCTCAAAGCAACACAGAGAAACCCTGTCTCAAAAAAAAAACCCAAAAAACAAAAGAATTAGGAAGGCTCACACTTCTCATGCCCAAACCTTACTAACTAGAAGCAGTGATCTCGGGAGGAGTCTGTGATACTGACATAGCACACTAATGGAATAGAATTGAGAAATAAGCCCACAGATCTGTTATCAGTTGTTGACACTGGTGTCCAGACAACACAGTGTAGGAAAGAAAGCAAGCGCTGGGACAAATGGATATTCACATGCAGAAACATCAGGGTAATAATACATACAAAAAGTTACTCGTATTTATTCCAAGTTCTAAGGTTAAAACTATACAATTTTGAGAAAAATATATATATAAATATTTATTATATTAAAAAAGTGTTTCTTAGTTATGATACCTACAACACAAGCTAACAAAAAGGAGATAAGGTAGACTTTGTCAGAGAGAAACATGTTTATACAATAAAGAACATTATTAAGAAAATTGTGCAAGAAAATCAAGCAGTATTACGCTGCCAGCTAGAAAGGACACTCTGAAATCATGAAGCAAAATACATTCTTCTACCCTTAAAATAAAGGGCCAGGGGGCTGGAGAGATGGCTCAGTGGTTAAGAGCATTGCCTGCTCTTCCAAAGGTCCTGAGTTCAATTCCCAGCAACCACATGGTGGCTCACAACCATCTGTAATGACGTCTGGTGCCCTCTTCTGTCCTGTAGACATACACACAGACAGAATGTTGTATACATAATAAATAAAAAAATATTTAAAAAAAAAATAAAGGGCCAGGTGTAGTGGCACGCGCCTTTAAGCCCAGCACTCTGGAGGCTAAGGCAGACAGATCTCTGTGAGTTTGAAGCCAACCTGGTCTACATTTAAAGTTCCAGGCCAGCCGTAACTACATGGTGAGACCCTATCTCAAAAGAAAGAAAGTGTTGGGCAGGGAGGGAGGAAAGGAAGGATGGAAGGAAAGAAAGAGAGATAGCCCAATAAAGAAAGAAGAGAAACCCAATGTAAATTACACTCAATAAGGATCTACTTACCAGACTATATAGAGAGAACGCAAACATATTCATTAGGAAAACGTAAGTTGAATCCATAATATGCTAATTATTTCTTCTATCCGATAAGAGGGATATTAAAAACAGTGGTGAGTGTGTAGAGCTACTGGCTTTCTTACACAGCTCCATGGAAACAGTTTGCTAGCTCCTCAAAAACTTAAAATGTGCCGGGCGGTGGTGGTGCACGCCTTTAATCCCAGCACTCGGGAGGCAGAGGCAGGTGGATCTCTGTGAGTTTGAGGCCAGCCTGGTCTACAAGAGCTAGTTCCAGGACAGGCACCAAAGCTACAGAGAAACCCTGTCTCGAAAAAAAAAAAAAAAAAAAAAAAAAAAAAAAAAAAAAAAAAAAAAAAAAAAAAACTTAAAATGTCACTGTATATCCCGAAGAATGGAAAAATCAGTACAATAAAAGTTATACACAGAGGCAGGTAAATCTCTGAATTCAAGACCAGCTTGGTTTACAGAGAAAGTTTCTGGAAAGCCAGGGCTGTTACACAGAGAAACTCTGTCAATAAAAAACTGGAAAAAAATTAAATATTATAGCTGAGCAGTGAACCCCCATCATGAATTTCTTGTAAACAACTTGTTTTCCCCTGATCTGAGTGCCTACAGCTGCTCTGAGCACGAGACCCTCAGGAGTTCCTGATGGCAGGGGAATGGTTTCTGGTGCATTTGGCTGGGGCATAGCTATTATAAACTGCCCCTGGACACAATAAAGGGGGCATTCTTGTTTCAAGCATGACCCGTGTCTCTGTGACTCTGTGAGTCTTTGTGTGTTTCAATCTTCAGCCCCTTGCCCGGTTCACGGACGGTGTGGTGGCGTGTAGAGCACAGATGGGCGTGGTGCACCGCACACACCTTTATTCCCAGCAGTAGGGAGGCAGAGGCAGGGAAATCTCTGAGTTCAAGGCCTGCCTGGTCTACAGAGCAGTTTTTTTCCAGGATGGCCAGGGCTACTCAGAGAAACCCAATCTCAAAAAAAAAAATCATAGCATCCAAACAACAGAAGAAGCTGTTGCCGTGACATATGTTTGTTATCTCAACATTTAGGATGTGGAGGCGAGAGAATCATTTAAAGGCTAGGCTCAGCTACACAGAGAATTTAAGGCTAGTCTGAGTTTCATGAAAAACCCGGTTTACGGTGTTATTTCTAATAGTTCCATAAGAGAAATTTATCAAATTGAGTATTCTAACACAAAAAGGAACAAAGATATATTCTGGATGGATTTGAAAAGATTATGTTGAATGAAAGAAACTAACCCGAAAAGAGAACACATGTGGTGTGACTATGAAATGTGAACAGCTGGAACTATGGAGGTAACAAGATTATTGGGTCCATTGCTCAGCTGACGTAGAGCAAGGGAGTGTGCTTGCACATATGACATTTAGGAGGGAAGTAACTCTAAAGTGTTCTACACCTAGATTGTGGAGATGGTTGAATATATAGAAAACCATCTAAGTGAGCCGTGGCTTATTAGTGTGCGGGTGCTGTGGGTATGCGTGTGTGTAGGTGTACCCTGATCTGTGTGCGGAGGTCACAGGACAACTTTGTGGACTCGCTTCGTTTTCTTCCACCTTGACGCGGATTGGAGAGATCAAAGGCAGCTCTCTCAGCCTACATGGCAAGCCTTTTTACCTAATTACTGAACTAGTGTGCTGGCCTTCAATTCACATTTTAGAACAGGGAACTTGAGCTGGAGATGTAGCTCAGTGGTTAAAATACTTACAAAAGGCCATTGAATCATTACCCAAATGGTGAACTTTATGGTATGTAAATTATGTCTCAAGTGGGGTCTTAAAAATATGTGGTGCTTTGAATAAAGATAAACTAATAAAATCAGTTTTTCTTTAAAATTAATTAAAAAGGTGTTTGGTTAATAAATTTAATTAGGATCGTAGTATGTTCTTAACATTTTTTCCCTGTGGAGCTGTAATTGAATATTTCAAAACCAAATAGTATTCTGTTTGTTTCTTTTAATCTCGGCTTGCATTTTTCTCCTTCATTTCCCTACACATTTTCCAATTGCTACTTGCAAAGGAAACAGTAAGGGGTTCGGATACATGTCAGTGTGAAGGGCCTTGGTTGGCATGTGCTGGACTCTTGATTTGACCATGACACATAAAATTTATTAAGCATCTTAATACTTAGAGAAAATGTCACTGCTTGTGCACATTATAATTGCTTTAGCTTAATATTCTACATTTGAATTTTCTCCTCTTTGTTTTTATTAGTAAAGTGTCACTTAAAGCATGAGGTATTAATATTTATGTTTTTCTTTCTTTAGAAAAATTCTTGGAGTCAAGTCTCACTGTGCAGGCCTAGCTAGCATGGAACTCTCTGTGTAAACTAGACTGCTTCCCAAATTAGAGAGCTCTGCCTGCCTCTACCTCCTAAGTGTGTTATTAGCTTTTCCTCCAACTTTCTTCTTTTTAAAAATTCTACTAATTTTAACAATCCTTTCAGCAATGCATGAAATGTCCGTATCATAAGCCATCATGTATCTATATCCATCTGTTATTTTCAGTTGAAACTATTTGATTGCATGACAATGTTTAGTATTTGTTTATTAGCCATTTGTTTCATCTGGGAATTGTCAGAATTGCCTACTTCTAGCTTACCAATTTCTATTATATATATATATTATATATATTATATATATATATGACTATAAACCCATTTTGTACATGTTTCTGCAAGGGTATTTCCAATTTTATTATTCTCTTTGTAATTTGTTTATTGTTACTTAATTTACTTGTTTTTGCTTTTTTGGGTTTTCCAAAACAGGATTTCTCTGTGAAACAATCCTGGCTGTCCTAGAACTCACGCTGTAGAGAAGATTGGACTCGAACTCAGAGAAATCCACCTGCCTCTGTCTCCTAAGTGCTGGGATTAAAGGTGTGCGCCACCACCGCCTGAGTAACAGGCTTACTTTTGAGACAGGGTTGTGCAGCTTAAGGGCCAGTCTCTAAGTCACCATTCTTATGTTGTAGTTCTCAAGTACTGAGACTACTGACATTAATAATAATGCCTAGCTTCTTTTGAAATTTGGACTTACTTTGTTTATTATGGTGGAGTTTCAAGTCAATCTTCCCCGTTTTCCTTCAGGTTTCTTTTCCATTTGTGATGTCTAATCTTGGTTGTCAGCCTGTCTAAATCTACTGCAGGGCACTACTGGGAAGGATTTTTCTAGATCAGACTATTTGAAGCAGAAAGGCACACCCTGAATCAGGGTGGCAGCCCAGAAAAAAAGGGACATTGAAAAAGGAAAGTTTACTTTTGGACTGCTTGCCCTCACTCTCACTGGCAAGCCCATCTGCCTTGTCGCTACAGAATTCCGTCACTAGTATTAAAACCTACTTCTTGGGAATTGCAACAGATGGAAGAGGAGCAGCTGTCCAGGACTCTTCCAGTGCCACATTGGGACTGCTGAGATCTCCAACCTCGTGTATTGAACAATTACCAGAATCTTGGCCTTTCCGGTCATTGTTGTTGGACTACCCACTTAGACTGCATCCTGTAAGTCAACCTAATATATCAATTCTATCACTTTAGACAGCCCTAATACACCATTGTTCCCAAACTTAAAAGAAACCCTCATCTTGAGATTTTTTGCAGTCAATCTTTCTTTCCCACTAATATTTGTTTGTTTGTTCGTTCGTTTGTTTGTTTTGTTTTTTGGAGACAAGGTTTCTCTGTAGTTTTGGTGCCTGTCCTGGAACTAGCTCTTGTAGATCAGGCTGGCCTAGAACTCACAGAGATCCGCCTGCCTCTGCCTCCCAAATGCTAGGATTAAAGGCGTGCACTACCACCGCCCGGCTTTCCCACTAATATTTATTATTTATTTACTTATTTATATTTAGGGACAGGATTTTGTGTATACCAGGGTAGCATAGAGCTTCCTAACATCCAGCTTCTACCTCTTGTGATGGCATTACAAATCTTTGTGTAGTAAACATGTGTCACCATGCCTGGTACAGGTGGTTCTGTGTTACTCTGGGAGTCATGCATGCTAGGAAAAACACTAGTACATTTCCAGCCTTCCATTTCAAAAATAACTTGAGGACTTGAGAAGGTGGCTCAGTGCTTACAGTACTTGCTGTATAAGCATGAAGACCTGAGTTCAGATCCCCAACACTCATGTGAATCCTAAAAGCACCCCCATAGCCCTAGAATAGTGTGTGTGTGTGTGTGTGTGTGGTTGTATTCCAGGGTATTTCTGCTTTAATGGCAGATCATATATCAAATAATAATAATAATGTGAAGAGCAATAGAGGAAGGCACCAAACACCAGCCTTGGGACTCTACATGCATACATGCATGCACACATTCCCACCACACACATACATGAACACAACAAAAGACGTGGAAATAGAAGATAGACTACTTAGGAAGAGGACAGTGGCCAACAGTGTCCTAGCCAGTGTTCTATTTCTGATAAGAGATATCATAACCAAGGCAACTCTTATAAAAGAAAGTATTTAATTGGGACTTGCTTACCGTTTCAGAGATTTACTCCATTATGTTCAGGGCAGGGAACATAGCAGCATGCATGCAGACATGGTAGCTGAGAATTCTATATCCAGATCCACAGGCAGCAGGAAGAGCAGAGCTACTGGGCCTGATTTGGGCTTTGGAAAACCTCAAAGCCCATTTTACTGACATCCTTCTCCGACAAGGCCACACCTCCTAATGCTCTCAAATAGTACCACTACCTAAGCACTTAAAGATATGAGCCTATGGAAGCCATCCTTATTTAAACCACCACAAGCAGGATGATGAAAGGAAGTAATAGGGTATGGATAAGATCAAGCTATGGTATATACATACATAAAAATGTCATAATGGGGGCAAGAAAGGTAACTTAGAGGTGAAGAATTCCTGCTCGATATTCATGAGAACTGGATCTCTGCACCCATGTATCAAGCCAGGTATCTCACAAAAGCTTTTATATCCAATTCTGATAGTTTTAACTAATGCCCACTTATGCCTTCTGCAGGTGTGTACACTGAACTTGCACCCCAAAATATGCATATACTCTCATGTAAACAGAGATAAGTAAAAATAAAATACATTTTTACGAGTTTTTTATCTGATTTGTGAGAATTTGTTTATATGTAGATGGTGCTGCTCTCCATATGCAGAGGTCAGAAGACAACTTGCCAGAGCTAGCCCTCTCTATCATGTGAGTTCTGGGACTCAAACACACGTTGTCAGACGTGGCAAAAAATGGCTTTATCCACTGAGATATTCTTGTTTATTCTCTGCCTCTGTGTGTGTGTGTGTGTGTGTGTGTGTGTGTGTGTATCCATGTCAGTGAGGGTGAACCTCACATGACTTTGTAGAGGTCAGAAGACAGCTGGGGGTAAGTTCACTCTTTTCACCGTGAATTCTGGGAATCGAATTCAGGTCATCAGACTTGGCTATAAGTACCTTTATCCCCTAACCAGTCGCATGGGCCCAAATAAATCTCTTTAAAAAAAAAAGAAACTGGGCCAAAGAGATGATTCAGTGGGGTCTGCTGCTAAGGTTGATCCCTAGAAGTCATGTAGATGGTAGAAGGAACAGAACTAACTCCACAAACTTCCTCTGACTTCTGTATACCATGGCATTCATGTACCCACAGACACAAATCACACACACACATACACACAATAATATTCAACTAACTAAAAATTTGAAAAAGAAAATGTCATAATGAAAACCATTCTTGCATATAATTAAAATATGCTTTATAAACAGACAAAACAATAATCTTTTTGTGTATGACTTCCTACTTTCCAACTGCAATTCTGTATGAGGATTGCTTAAAAAACAGCTAACTATTTTTATGGCAATATTTATTAAATGTTTTTGTTTTCCAGTTGGTACATTATGCAGTGATTGGCATTCATTAATATGTTAGACTGAGATCTATTTCTTTTTGTGTTTTCTTTTCTATTGATCTGTATCTTAGTTTCCTTTCTGGTTGCTATGACAATGTAGTTTGTCAAATGCAACATAGGGGAGAAAGGGTTTATTTTAGCCCCCAACTCCTGGTTATGCTCCATCATTGGAGGCACTTCTAGGCATCCTGAACGTGGAACAGCTAGTCACATCCACAGTTAGGCATGCTTGTGCTCAGTTCACTTTCTCCTTTTTTTTTTTTACAGTCCAGTACTCAACCCCAGAAAATAGAGATGCCCCTTTTTTTGTTTGTTTGTTTTTTCAAGACATGGTTTCTCTGTGTAGCAGTCCTGGCTGTCCTGGAACTCACTTTGTAGACCAGGCCGGTGTCAAACTCCCTGAGATCCGCCTGCCTCTGCCTCCCAAGTGCTGGGACTACAGGCATGTGCCACCACTACCCAGCATTAGAGCTGCCCATTTTTGAGCTGAGTCTTTCCACATTAATTAACATCATCAAGACATATCTCCACAGACACGTCCACAGGCCAACATAATCTAGGCAGTTCTTCATTGAGACTCCATTCTTAGGTGATTCTCGATTGTGTCAAGTTGTCAATTTAAACCAGCCATCACTATTTTGTACCAGTACCAGGTCGATTTCATTGTTTTAAATTACATTGCATTTTAGCATCTGACAAAACTCGATTGCACACACACCAGGGTTTCTGTTTTTCGTTTGTTATCTCCTTATTATGACTTGTAGACGACTCATATAGTAAAGGCTTGCTTCTCCAGCATGTAGAATTAACTAGCATGTAATTAGATCAAGAGGGCTCTAATCTCATTGGTGAATTCATAGGTAAATGGTCTAGTAGGAGGTGGGACCTCATTGGAGGAAGTGGGCCAATAAGGTACAACTTTGAAACGAGTTTCTTCTCATTGGACCCTTTTCATCCTGTTTCAAGATTGGGTGAGGTATGCAGTTTAATTCCACTATACCCTTTCCCATGTTTCTACATTGCCAAAGAGCTAAAAGCAGTGGAGTCCCCTGACTGTGAACTTAAACCTCTTGAAACTTGGCACTCAAGTATGTTTGTGTTGCTTTGAGTTGTTTAACTTGGGTGCTTTGTCACAACAAAGACACTCTAGCATACTGCGTTTTAGTAAAACAACTTCAAAAACATTTTGTCTTCTTTTCACTCCCCTTTCTCTTTTTTGTTTTTTTGACACAGGATGTCACATTGTAGCCTAGCTAGCCTGGAACTCGGTATGTAGACCTGGCTGGCCTTGTATTCAAGGAGCTCCACCTGCTTCAGCCTCAGGAGTGCTGATATTATAAGTAAGCACCACGATGGCCAATTTGTGAAGTACTAGGGATTGAACCTAGGTCCTTGTGGGTTAGATAAGCAGTCTACAAACCGAGTTGCAGCCACAGCCCCACAGTCATAATTCTTCATTGTTTCTATACATGTTTGGTTAAGATTATTATTATTCCATAATTTCGACTTGTTTAGAGTACAGATAAACAATACCTATTAGATGCTAGGACCTAAACTAGATATTCACATGTATTATTGGTTTTTGTTACAAGAGCCCTGTGTAGTATACATTAAAAGACACTTAAGGTCATGCTCAACTTCCTTAGCGATCAGGGAAATGCAAATCAAGACAACTTTAAGATACCACCTTACACCTGTCAGAATGGCTAAAATAAAAAACACCAATGATAGCCTTTGCTGGAGAGGTTGTGGAGAAAGGGGTACACTCACCCATTGCTGGTGGGAATGCAAACTTGTGCAACCACTCTGGAAAGCAGTGTTTCGGTTTCTCAGGAAATTCGGGATCAACCTACCCCTGGATCCAGCAATACCACTCTTGGGAATATACCCAAGAGAGGCCCTATCATACAACAAAAGTATATGCTCAACTATGTTCATGGCAGCATTGTTTGTAATAGCCAGAACCTGGAAACAACCTAGATGCCCTTCAACGGAAGAATGGATGAAGAAAGTATGGAATATATACATATTAGAGTATTACTCAGCAGTAAAAAACAAGGACTTCTTGAATTTTGCATACAAATGGATGGAAATAGAAAACACTATCCTGAGTGAGGTAAGCCAGACCCAAAAAGAGGAACATGGGATGTACTCACTCATATTTGGTTTCTAGCCATAAATAAAGGACATTGAGCCTATAATTCATGTTCCTAGAGAAGCTAAATAAGGTGAATCCAAAGACAAACACATAGGCATCCTCAGGAATATTAACCTTCATCAGGCGATGAAAGGAGACAGAGACAGAGACCCACACGGGAGCACCGGACAGAAATCTCAAGGTCCAAATCAGGAGCAGAAGGAGACGGAGCACGAGCAAGGAACTCAGGACCACGAGGGGTGCACCCACACACTAAGACAATGGGGATGTTCTATTGGGATCTCACCAAGGCCAGCTGGCCTAGGTCTGAAAAAGCATGGGATAAATCCGGACTAGCTGAACATAGCAGACAATGAGGAATACTGAGAATTCAAGAACAATTGCAGTGGGTTTTTGACCCTACTGCACGTACTGGCTTTGTGGGAGCCTAGGCAGTTTGAATGCACACCTTACGAGACCTGGATAGAGGTGGGCAG